ATATATTTATACATATACATATATAATGAGACTTTTTTTTGATTATAGAAAACATGAATCACTGTTTAATTTGTTAAGGCTAGCATAACCTTAAAGACAAATTAAAGTATGATTAAAGAATATCCTTTTGGGCCGGGGATTTAGTTCAGTGGTTCCACCGCCTGCCTCACAAGCACAAGTTTCCAAATTCGATCCCCAGTACCAAAATAAAAACAACAAAAAAGAATATCCTCTCATAGTACAAAAATCAGTTATGAATATAGATGCAAAAAGTTTAAATATCAACAAGTAGAATCCAGTTGTATGTCAAATGAACTGTATCCTATAAACAAACATATATTCTAGGCATGTTGAATCAGTGAAATAGCATAATTCATGAAATAAAGGAGAGGAAAAGAAGTCTATCAATTGCAAGTTCTAATCAGTTGAAAGGTCTAATAAAATCAAATCTTTATTCCTAACAAGAAGTTTTAGTAAAATAGAACTTAGTTTAAGTTAAATAACATAGATTACTTATCAAGGACAGCAAATAGTCTACATACTCTAGAGCCATTTACATTAAAATCAGAAAATAGATAATGATGCCCACTATCACTGTTATTAGGAAAAATTATTCTGAAAGCTCTAGCAAACACAGTGGTAAAGCACTTGCCTAGCATTTTGAGGCTCGGGCTCAATCCCCAAGTTCCCTGCTTTTAGGATAAAAGTAAGCTAGAAAATAAAGAAATGCTCATCTAAAATTTGCACAATTAGTGGAGGATTTTAGTATGGTGGATGAATATAAAATAGATACACATGTAATAGAGACTACAAAAAAAAACAAACAAACCCAACTAGGAATGGAAAGGGGGAAAAACTCATACAAAAATCTTTAAAAGATTTAATAAATTTCATTTTTAAACACAAGTACCTTAAGAAAATTACAAAATCTGATCAAAATACCTAAAGAAGGATCCAGACAAATGGAAATATCTGTTGCTCTTGCATGAAAATATGTGATATAAAAAAAATGTCAACCTATCTGATTAGTATATAAATCTAATGCAATTCTGATGAGAATTCCATTTTTTTTGGTAATGGTTAGAATGTAAAATAGAGTTCATTTGTTTGTATGGAAAAGTAGATGTGAGGAAAGGCAAATTATCTGTATATCGATGTTTTTGTTGGTTTTTGAGGTAGTGTCTCATTATGTTGCCCAGGCTGGCCTCAAACTTAACATGCTCCCATCTCAGACTCCCACATGGTTGTGATTACAGTCCTGCCCCACTGTGCTTGGCTAGGAAAAGCAAACTATGAGGAAAAATACTTGGCTTGCCTCACTTTTTTTCCCCCCTGATATTAGGGACTGAACCCAGGGCCTTCACACTGAGCTAATCCCCAGCCTTTTCCACTTTTTCTTTCTGAGACGGAATTTTGCTAAGTTGCTGACTTGCCCAGGCAGGGCTTGAACTTATCCCCCTTCCTCAGCCTCCCAGAGTGCTGGGCTTACAGGCGTGTGCCACTGTACCTGGCTTCAAATATTTTTAAAGCATGGAAGGACACACAGACTCTGTGGTTTTGGAATAGGAATAGATAAATAGATAAGAATAGAATAGAGAGCCCATAATATATTTCAGTGTGTAAGGGAATGTAATATGTGCCAAAATTAATATTTCAATTCTATGAAGAAAAAGGATAGTTTACTTAATGTGTTCCAGTATAAGTGATTATCCATCAGGGAAATAAGAAAGTTGAACATCCCTTGTCCCATAATATAGAAACAAATTCCAGATGAATTACATACTTGTAAAAATTAGAAAAACCTTGGAAGAAAATTTAGGAAAAAAGTACATATAACCTCTGTTTCATGGTTTTTTTTTTTTTTTGGTACTGGGGATTGAACTTAGGTCCTTGTGTTTGCGAGGCAGGACACCAAACCACTGAGCTAAATCCCTGGCCCTATAACCTTTGGACTGCAGAGAGCTTTAAAACAAATTGAAGAAAACTAGCAGCAATTAAGGAAACGTATCTTTTTGACTTAATACATTTTAAAATATTTCAATAGCAGAAATGATCACAGTCAAAAGAAAAAAAGACATATGGGAACAATATATCATGTGATAGAATTAAAATCTGTTATACAGAAGCTCTTACTAATTGAGGGAAAAAGACAGACAAAATAACAGAAATAAAAGGAATACAGGAAGACTAATGATTCATTCAAACTATGAAATATGCAGCCATTAGGAATTATTTCTTAGATCTTATACCATTTACCTTGAAATGATTGCCACGAGGTGTTGAGAAAGGTAAGCTGCAGACAAGAGTAGCAAGAACCTACTTTGACATTCACACCATTGTACGCATATGCTGCCTGCATGTTTGTGTGTGGCGGATTATACAAGGACAACGGAAGAAATGAAAGAACAGCAGAGATTCACGGTGGTTGGGGAAGAACACTTTGCCCTCTGAACAAATGGACACAATAAAAACAGCACGCAGTTGGGTTGCAGTGGTGCAAATCTAGACTCCCAGGAAGATGAGGCAGGGAGATTGCCGGCCTGGGCAACACAGTGAGGCTCTGTCTCAAGGAACAACAACCAAAGGCTTCTGCACAAATAATAATGATCCAATTTTTAAAAGAAATCAAAATGCTTATGCTACAGCGTAAGTGGACAAGGTAGGATACAAATGTTTAGGTAGGCTCCATTAACAATGATGTAAAGGGCCAGGGATTTAGCTCAGTGGCCCTGTGCCTGCCTCTCAAGCGCAAGGTCCTGAGTTTGATCCCCGGTACCAAAACAAACAAACACAAAAAACAATGATGTAAAACGTTCCAGAGAAGAAATATTGTCAGGCAACACAAACCAATGGCCACAATAATTGTTTAAGCAGAGGTATTATACATGACTCTCTCTCTATAGTTTCCAAATTTTCTCCAAAGTAGTTTTGTTTGCTTTTGCAGTTAATGAAATAAAATAAAATTTCTAACACTTTATTGATCACCTACCTTTTATTATGTCTTGAAATCGGTGGCCATATGTACATATGTAAGCTTGATGTCCTAGCTCTGAAAATGTGTAAGTTTTCGTTTTACCTAGGATTTTTTGGTAGTTTTTAGTTTGTTACAGATTAGGTAACTAAATCTTCAAGAATAGATTTGCCATAAAATCCAATACAATATGGCTTCCTATGTTAAGGCTTTTTTTTCCCCAAATAGCTGCAGAAGTTACTTCTAGTGATAATTTCAAAATTCTGTAGGTAGGTCCATCTAAAGGCCTGCCCTATGCCATGTGTCCATCATGCCTTCGTTGCAAGGAAGGCTCAGAAAACCTGGTACTTGCAGCTCCTGTAGCAGGAGGCCCATAGGTGGGGGAATTCCACACACATCAGGAAGCATTACAACGCTGGACGGCTAAAAGGAGGGTCTGTGCTCGTGCTGTCTTTGTGTGTTCACGAAACTACATTCTGGATTTGCGGGTTCATGACCAATGGTGACAACAGCAGAGCCACATTTGATAAGTATCTCCTGGGTGCAAAGGAATCCTACAGATGGTGAAAATGGGGATGAAATCATCAGGAACCCTATTGTTTAATGAAATAGAAACAAGTGTACTGGCCTTCATACTTGCTCAAGGTTTTTATTCTTAAGAAGATTTCCCTAAACTATAACCTGCTAGTAAAATCCTTAGTCCTAAATTAATTGTTTGGACCCACAAGAGAATGTAAATGTAAGTAATGAATTGTATATTTCAAAAATGATATCTATCTGTTGGCTAAATATTTACTCAGTTTGACATTTCTTATTCTGAAACTGCGTAAACCTTGATCTGTGTTCAGTTCTTTAAAGTTAACACATAAAGCCAGGGGTGGGGCTCAAGCCTGGAGGCTGAGACAGGAAGATTGCAGAGTTTGTGGCCAGCCTGGACTACATAGTGAGTTCAAGGTCCACCTGATCCAAATAGATCCTATCTCAAAAGAAAAAAAAAAAAGTTAACACGTAAAACTAGATCAAATTCTTCACCAGTTCTGCCTGCTATCATTTATTCTTGATTTCAATTAACAGGTGCAGGGAAGCAAAAGTGGCCTGATCCAGGGCAACAGTGATGCCATGGTGAAGAATAGATGGGAGGAGAGAAGCAACAGGCACCATGGAAAAAGCTAAAACAAAGCAAGGTCAGACTTGCGGGGCATGGGGTGCATATTTCTTATTTTTCCCAGCAGTAACTTTAGCATTGATGTAGAAGAACGTACTGAGAGTAAGGTCAAGATACAGATGGAAGCCAGATGGGGTAGGGTACACCTGTAATCCTAGAACTCTGGAGGCTGAGACAGGAGGATGGCAAGTTGAGCCCAGCCTGGGCAACTTAGTCACTTAGCAAGACACTATCTCAATCCAAACTAAACTAGAAACTCATAAATGAATAAATAGGTAGACTGGGGATTTAGCTCAGGGTAAAGGGCCTTGGTTCCATGCTTCCATTCCCAGTACTGCCCCACCCCTGAAAACACAAATTCACCTAACAGACATCCAACATCTTCCAGGCTAGCCTAGTTTCACAAGTGCTTTCTCACATGAAGGAACAATCACACAGAAGCAGGTTCCGGTATCATGTCCAGTTTACAGTTAAGGAAACAGTCATAGAGAAGCCAGGCTACAATACAAAGTAGTAAAACCAGGTCTGGGATCCTGGCCTGCATTCCCAAGTCTTGGTTCTTGCTGTTAGACCAGGGTGTTGGGAGATAGCGTAAAATGAGCTACACAATCTCTACTCAAGCTTTTTGAGGGGTGTTTGGGTAATCTCAGATGATCTGGATTTTATAGGAAACCCCTCTGCAGGGACAGGTTCTGGGCTGAGGTTTCATATTTATGAATCTAACATACTCTGACTGCTTTCTTTAAGGAGGGATTTCTGCATCAGCATGTTAGAGAACAGTTTCCACATCTATGTACACAAACACATATTTGCAAACAGGGGCTTCCTCTCTAAACTACTGGACTCATGCAATATGACACGATCAGGGGTAGAGCGTGATGGGTGATCAGTGAACGTGGGTTGCCTCATTTTCATGGTCAGTCGGTCAATGTGATTCTGAAAGGCACCGTTAACCTTTTCTTCTCCTGAGGTTGCAAATGATTTTCACAACCTGCTGCTGTCCTGTGTGTTTGCCCTGTGTTTTCCAGTCTCTAGTTTTATTTCTGCCCACTTCCAAGAACCTTTCCATTGGAGAGAATTTCTAATCCCCCCCCACCCCCAGGCTCTTGCCTAAGAGGACAGCCACATTCCCTTAGCTGATCTCAGCAGTGACAGGTCAGACCTCAGAGGTTTGGAAAGGTTGAAAAGTAGGAGAAAGCAAGGGACATTGAATGCAGGCCTCCTGAGATCACTAAGTGACAACTGGACGGGTTTCCGGGGAAAAGCATCCTTGCTGACTTTAGAACTGTCCCTTCAGGCAATCACTTAGCCCAGAAGACGAGGGAGACCCCTGGCATCCTCTCCTGGCTACTTAATGGCCACTAACCACATGGTTTTGTTTGCAAGTTTCCCCACTGTGGTAGAACATTGTTTTCTACTACAAGAGTTAATCCTACCCAATGGTTTCTGCTACAAGGTAGGTATGATTTAGACATTAGGATATAGAGTAGATATGAAAACTCACTACACCAGTTTATTTTTTGCTCTTGAATCATTGATTTCTTGTCATGCAGGCAGAGATAGAGAATCCTGTGAGTTCTCTTATTCCCTCTGTATCTTATGAGGACAGGAAGGGAGCAAAATGAGTTGTCATGATTGAACAAAGCCTTCTCTCCCTACAGGAGACAATGAACATATGCCGGTGAATAACCCTTCCACACAGATTTACCAGGTAAAGACAACCAGATTCTTTCGAATACTCCTGTGTGTAGTAGTGGCGACTGTTCTTTTTGTGCAGAGATTTCTGGTACTAACATATGCCTCCTCATACACCACCACACTCATTTTCTTATCAAGCCTGTGTATCCTTGAGAGCTCGGCTTATTGGAGGACAAATTTCTCCTCTTATAAAGTGCAGCTCTACTAGGCCACCTCACCTCTGCTGGGCTTCCCTGCCGCCCCTGGAGCCACCACACCTAGCAATAACATTTCCAGAAGAAAGGATCTGTTTTTCTTATTTTCCCATTTTAGCAGGGAGAATTGACAATTAAAAAGGGGTCAAGGGCCTGGGATTTACCTCAGTGTTTCCTGCCTCTGGAGTGCAAGGCCTGAGTTCAATCCCCGGTACCAAAAAAAAAAAAAAAAAAAAAAAAAAAAAAGCGGGGGAGGGGTGTCATTACTTCGCATGTCCAAATATGGTGATATAAAAATTTAAGCTCATTTTACACAATAGGAATAATTTGATTTATAAGGAAGCTGACAGTTCTGCAGAACATCTTTGTAACAAGAGTTACATCAAAGCTGTTTTGTCCCTGTTGACAGAATTCATTGGCCTCCTATCTTCCAGCTGCACATTTAGTATGTGTGGTGCTAAAGCAAGCCCTCCAACTATACATTTAAAAGGAAGTTCCGTCCTTTGTGGAAGTTTATTCTGACATCATTTGTAACATAAAAGCATCTTGAGCTAGAGAAACCCGTGCTCCTCTCTACACTTAAGATAGTGTCATCTATATGTTCTAGTTTCTCATCAGATGGCATAAATCTTCCGCCTGCCTGAAGATAGTGTTATCTGGAACACATGAGAAAGAAGACAGAGCTGGGGTGGGGGCTGAGAGAAAAAGCCCTTCCTAAATTGGCTGTAAGGTTAAAAAGAGCAACTTTCCAAGCAGAAAGATAGGTGTCCAGAAGAACAAGTAGGGCAAATGTTATGTAGATAGTGGAGCTTAAGTGACAGTCAAGTGAAAATAACAACTAGTTCCCAGAGATACTGTGCGAGAGTTCACTGCTGTGGGCTGGACCAGGGCAAGTCAGTACAGGATTATGAAAACATCTGAACCATATTGGTCCTAGACTTGGATCAGCAATGAGAGGCACGGAGGAAACAGCCTCATTTCAAGTTAATTCGTATTTACTGAGTAGTTACTATGTGCAAACTCTACTGCTCGGCCTAATGGGATCTTTAAATAAATGAAAGAAATACTCTCATTGATTTGTAAGTGTCCACAACCTGGAAAACACACGTGAAATGGTTTGTACAGGTAGGCGGTTGGAAAGATCATAATGAAAGCATGGATACAATTCTCTGGGGGAGAGATGAATTCGGACTGACAGACTAAGGACAAACCGATCGTTTGACGAGTGGGTAGGAGGAAGGTCATCTCTGGCAGGAGGACTATCTTGAACAGCAGCTGGGACGCAGGAGTGGGCCTTCCCTCAGTACCGATTCGATACCTCCCTGGTCCAAGATGGCTAAGTGCTTTCTCTTACCTACTTTCCCACTGCTCTTGTCTGAACAGCGAATGGCCTTTGAATGAGTCTAAGTGCCTCTTCGAACTCGGGCATGAGTTGAAGCCTAGTATAGCTTTTATGTAGGTCACTCCCTGGATGTTGGCTAAAGATAGCTGCGGTGGGGATGGCCTCGTTATCCTACTGTATCACAGACCCAAGTACATCTGTTCACAGTGGAATACACGAGACAGTGAAAATGAAGTTGGTCTACGGTGATGTGTGCTAACTCATCCTTGTTTTAAAAGAACACTTCCTAAGTCTGTTTACTCCCAGCAACGTTTATCCAAAAGAAGAAGGAGGAGAAGTGAAGAGGAAGAGGAAGAGGAGGAAGGAGGGAAGTGGGAAGGAGTCAATTAAAAGAGAATACAATCTATATTAGAAGGGACCATATCCGAAGTAATATGTGAAATTTCTGCAATGATTTCCATATTTATTTTTCTTGATAGATCCTATTCCTACTTGACAGCATATACAGAAGTTAATACTTGCTTTTTGGGTCTTTGAAATCGTCTCATCTAGAATGTAAGCTCTAAGGGCAGGAACTTAGTCTGTTTTGCTCCTTGCTATATTCTTGGCATAAAGTACGGTGCTTGGAGTACAACACATACTCGATAAATACTTGGTGGATGAATGAAAGCTGGAAATTTGTGTATATTGCTTTGAGCCAAGAAATCTGAGCAGTCATTCAATGCATGATACCAAATAGAACCTGATAATTGATTCTTTAGGAAGAAAGAAGAGATCCAAAGAGTTTGTTAAAAGACTAAGTACCAAAAAAAAAAAAAAATTAAGTACAAAAGCCAAACAACTTTAGCAAAAATATTTATTTTGTCTCTACGTGAAATGTCTACATAAAAAAGCACTGCAAGAAATTACAACAGAAAGGGTCTGAGAGTTCATCCACATCACAATGTACAATTTCTTAACATAAAAATATTTTGAGCAAATTCCAAGGCAAATACCAAAATTGGAAAGATACTTCCAACAAATATTTCAAAGATTTAGTGATATATAATGGGAAATTCAAAGACCCAAGTATAGAGAGGGCAAAGAACACAAATTCTTCACTCCTATGTAGCCTTAGCAATGTAAGCGCTGCATTTTTCTCCATTTTTATTACTTAAATTCTATAAGACACATTTTCCTAGGCAAGTGCCCTCCCTCTGAGCTACATCCCCAGCTCAAGACACATTTTTCTAAACCCACAAATTTAGAGCATTACATACAATCCAGAATGTTTCCAAGAATAGACAACCACCCTCTGATCAAATATATTTGTATCATGACTAATTAATTGAATGCTTTGGCTCCCTTCAATACGGATTTTCTTTTGGGTTAAATATTACCTACTATCTTGGACTCACAGTAATTTCATATTTCAGAATTTATTCTGAGGAGATGGTTTGAAATATATGCAAAGTTTACATTAAAAGTGTGGTATGAAAGTATTATTTACAATTGTGAAAAATTACAAATTTTCCACATGGGTGAATAGGTAGATAAACCCCTCCATATTCCACATGATAGAATATTATACACACCTTAAAATGGATACTTAGAAAAATTTAGAAGGCTATGGAAGAGGGCTTATAAGATAGCAGGGGCAAAAAGATGAGGGGCAGAATCAAAATATCTGTAGTATGATCTCAGCTATATCAATATCATTTAAATGCATATAACAAAATACAAGAAAATGTGAACGCTAATGGATACACTGAAATAACAAGACTTGGAGTAATTCTCATGTTTCTTTATTTTTCTCATGTAATGAAATAATTTAAGAAATAAGTTATGTGCCAAAAGGACATCTAATTGAAAAGCTACGGGAACCTGTCCTTACAGTAATAGGTTTCATTGTCGAAACTGCCACTGAAGGTTTTCTACATGATCTGTTAAGTCCTGGTCAAGCCTCAGTTCTTTATGCCATTGCAGAATGTTCTTCTAACACTACGAGAAGTTAGAGGGCCTGTGGCCTACCCAAGAATCAATTTTTTTTTTTTTTTTGGTGGTACCAGGGATCAAGCTCAGGACCTTGCGCTTGCAAGGCAGGTGCAGAGCCACTGAGCTAAATCCCCAGCCCAATAAAATACATTTTCAGCACACCAGCATTTACCTCAGCTTTAACAGGATCCTGTAAGGTGACTTTTGGGGAGCTTCTGCAGGGAGTGCACAGGAGTGAGTTAAGAAATTTACTCTTGATAATCAAATTACTTGCAGCCTACTCTGTGCTTTAAATCATTGAATTTCTGGGGAATCAGTAAAGAGACCTAAAATTGGAAGATGAAAAGTGGCAGAAAAACGGGTTTCTTTTGTAGTGACTCAGGTCTAGGGGAAACCAAAGCAATCAAAGCAATCAAAGCAATCACCCGGCATCCTTGCTGTCACGTGCTACTCCCAGACAGCTGCGTTTTCACACTTACAGAATCAAGTGTTGTAGGAATCTGACAGGCCTGGTGGAGGTTCCCAAAGGCTGTCATTCCTGGCTTTGCAGAGGTCCCAAGGCACAGGCACCCTTGAATTTGCCTCCTTGTAGCCTCCTGGCTTGGGTAAAGTGGCAGAAAGGAATGGGAAGTCTGTGTAAAAATCAAGTCGGCATTCCTGAAGCGTTTAGTTTGAGGCCTGAAAGAAAGATCTCTGTTGGAAAAAAAATGGAAGACTGACTAAAATTCATCTTAAGAAGAGTTAAGAAGCCAAGAAAGGAAAGAAAATTGAAAAGCAGCACTTAAGAGCAGGAAATAGGAAGAATTCGGACTCCTCTCCCCCATTTCTTTGAGCCTAAGCTGCCCTCTGTGGTACCCTAGGCTTTGAAGTTCAAGTCTTCCCTGAACCTGCCTCCGGTGGGAGCCCGCCTTCAGCGGCAGGATGGAGGGATCATAACCTCTCTAGAGCACCTCCATGAAAAAATCAACGAGATGAGGAACGTGTTCAACTCGCTGGAGTACAAGGTAGTCTCCCATTTCTAATCCTTGGGGCGGGCTGTGGGCTGTGAGATAGAAAGCCGGAGAGAGAGCAGAGAAGAGATGTTAAGACCACATCCTCCAGGTATTTTTCTCTCATGCGACAGTGGTCGTGTTGTTGTGGAAAAACCAGTCTGTAACAGCTAGAGAAAGTAAGCGCCCTCAGCATTTTAAAAATGGCTTCTCGCCGTGCATGGTGGCGCACGCCTGTAATCCCAGCTCTCAGGAGGCTGAGGCGGGAGGATCGCTGTGAGTTCGAGACCAGCCTGGGCTACATAGTGAGTTCCAGGTCAGTCTCAACTACATAGTGAGACCCTGTCTCAAAAAACAAAACAAAACAAACAAACAAACAAAAATAAGGCTTCTTGTCGCACTGTGTGAGCCCTGGCTTCTCCTGGCCTTTCATTGGTTGTGAAGCTGTTTATAAAGCAGTAGAGTGATTTCATTCAAAGAAACAGGTGGACAGCTCAGAACAGTTTCAGAATTCCCAGAGTCCACATATAACCTGGCTGTTAAAGAAAATTTTGATAGTTTTAAAATTTTTTCGAGAGTTGAAGTTCTACAGATGAGGAAAAGTCTTTTCCCCTAAGATTCTGTTGTCTTTTGGCTTCTAGCAGAAAACTACACATCCACGCATGGAAGCAGAGATAATGAAACATTTCTTTTGGCTAGTGGTTCTCTTTTTTTTTCCTAAGCAAAATTTATGTCTCAGGGCACTGAAATGAATGTCAGACTTCCTTCCTTTAATTTTTAAAATTGCGTACTTTTTACTCTGAGTTTATATAGCCATCAATTTAATTTTTCTCACAGAAGATAAAATTTGCCTGATGAAAATCCCTGGGTCAGAAGGTAACTGATCTGGTGATTTAATCCAGCAAGACAACTGAATTAGGAGATATACCAAGATCCGTCACAAAGATTAATTCTAATTCCAAACCAATTGGGATGAAAAATAGATTATTCATCTTGTTTCCCAGTTTTCCACCCCCAAATACTTCATAAGTTCTTCTTCTTTTTTTTTTTTTCTCAAAACAATCTCTTTGGGTCCTCTTATTTCTCCCTATTCCCAATCCTAGAAAGAAACTATTTGTGAAACACAAAACACTGAAATTTTAAAATGTAGTACAGGACATTGAGTCTTTGTAGTGGAAGATGTCATTGCAAGTTGAAATCTTTGGATGGCTTGATTCTGAAATTGTTTAGAAATACACATGTGAAGAAACTTTGTTATGGTACCTGGACTTTCATTTTCATTCCTTAGTTGGCGGTTGTCTTAAATTATAGAATAAATCTTCTAAACAGTTCTGTTTTGAAGAGAGAAGTAGAGCTAAGAGTTCCTCTGCTTAGCCAAATAGGATTATAAATGTCCAGAAAGTAGTATTTTTATCATGTTGTTATTATTTTAACTCACTGTCTGTTGTAATTGCTTTTCTCATTTGTTCAATAAATAATTCTGAACCTTTAGCAGTGCTCCGCTTTCTCCACACTTCTCTTTGTGCTTAGCATTTTGATTTGCCACCTAAAGAGGAAAAGAATTCCAAATTCTGAGCACCAACATATGTTGTGATAGATACCTTTACCTACATTGACTCATGGAGTGCTTAAGATAGTCCTGTGAAGTAGATATTATTATAATCATTTTGTGGACAAGGAAACTGCTACAAGGAGGTTAACCAACTTGATTAAGGTCAAGTTCTTGCACGGGACAGCTAGGATTTGTCCCCTACCTAACTGCCTCTTACGTGGTGTGGAACTTGACATCTGAGGCCCAGCATGGGCTTTCCTATGTGCCCAGCTCGCCTGCTGCATGGGAGGCTCGGCCCCGTTGACACGCTGAGCTCCTACCACTGTAGATATATATGGCTGTGCCTTCCTTATGGAGTAAATAAAGCTCACTGTCATTGAAAATGTCATTACCGACCTTTAAGGATAATATCCAAGAATGAAAAACAAAACAGAAACAAAACCTTTTCTTCCCTTTCAAAGAAAGTTGCATCAACCCCTAGTTATTCCTCTTCTTGTTGGTTAGCTTCTTAAGGGGGGAAAAAAAAAGAAGTGAATTGCTTTATTCTCTCATCAGGGAAAATATGACCCATCACTCTTCTTTACCAGAGTTCAGAGTTACCAGGTTAAGACTCTTTTCACATATATGTTGCTTTTCAGGTAAATTGCATCTTTACCAAAGGTTTAAACATTGCTGGGCACGGTGGTACACCCCTGTAATCCCAGCACTAGGGGAGGCTGAGGCAGGAGGATTGCTATGAGTTCAAGACCAGCCTGGGCTACATAGTGAGTTCCAGGTCAGTCTCAACTACATAGGGAGATCCTGTCTCAAAAAACCAAAAATAAATAAAATAAATAATAAATGGTAGCTTGCCAGAGCACTTATAAACTTAATTGATTGCTTGGTTTCTTGCCATTTATCTAACATCATCCTGTGTTGTGTAAAGAAGATACTCTTTTCCCTAGACGAATGACACCAAAGTTGCCTTAAATTGTCCGAGCTCAAGCAAATAAAGTCTGTAGATTTTCAAGAGCCTCATTTCTCAAAGCAGAGAAAAAGCCAAGGGGCCAAAAATGCCATTGATAATAACTTACAGCAAACTGACTTCGCTTTCCATGCATTATTTAGTTGCAGGCCCTGGCCTCTGAGCTGAAAACTGGTTTCACAGAGGCAATGCAGGAACTGTCACGAATCCAACATGGAGAATATGCCTTGGAAGAAAAGGTTAAGATCTGCAAGTGTTCCATGGAAGAAAAAGTTACTGAGATGAAGAATTCATTAAACTATTTCAAGGTAGGTGCCTCGTTTATTTTCCTGCTAAAAAAAGAATCTTGGTCCTTAGTTAATAGGAATAGAAAAGGTATCCTTTCCCTAGTAGCCAAATTTAAGAATTTACCATCTGCGTCATTCACTAGTTATCATGGGAAAATATTTATTTCATGTTTCTCTCTCTCTCTCTCTCTCTTTTTTTTGTGGGTACCGGGGATTGAACTCAGGACCTTGAGCTTATGAGGCAGGTGGCAGAACCACTGAGCTAAATCCCTGGCCCTTCATGTTTCTCTTTTTCATAGATGTGTTAAGATTGGAGACCACAATAGAACTATATTTTTCAATCCTTATTCATTCATTCATTCTTCAATAAATATATACTAAAAGCTTATGGAATGCCAAACATTATATTCTATGCTACCAGTTTAGAATGCAGCAATTCTTGTTTTTAGGAAGAGCTGAGCAATGCCATGTCAATGATTCAAGCCATAACTTCCAAACAAGAAGAAATGCAACAGAAAATTGAACAACTTCAACAGGAGAAACGAAGAGAGTCTCGAAAAGTTAAGGCCAAGTGAGTATCTTCAAAATATTTCCCATAAGCAGTGGCTTCTACAGAGGCACCAGGAACAACATTCTCTCTGTGTCAGCACTTGTCCAGTTCGCTCCTGATCTCCAGGAGTCAGTATGTGATAGAGGACAGAGAGCCAAGAAGTCGGCGATTTCCAGAAATGGAGGGTGAATCTTGTAAAGGGAAACGTATGTATTACAACATGATGTGATGTGAAAATAACATAAAATGGTATGGGTGCTTTGATCACAACTATCAAAACACAAAAACAGCACCTAGAAAGATGTATGTGAAAACAATGATTGTTGTGTAAAGCATTTGTTTTGTTAAGATCTGAGGCCACCAGTTATTTATTTTTCCTTGAATTTGTCTTCGTGGGCGGGGTCCTGAAGTTTGATCCCCAGTACCAAAAAGTAATAATAATGATGTTGATAATAATTTGTCTTCTAAATTTCCTCTAAGGCTGCTATTATTTTACTCTTCTTGTTGAAAATAAGTTTATGTTAGAGAGACTCCACTAGGTCTCACCACTCAATACATGTAACCTTATTGTTATATGTTCTTAATTTTGTCACATTTAAAATAGAGCTATGAGAATATTTATGGGATCCTGGAGAACAGGTTAGCAAATGTAAAGCATCCCCAGCAGTGGTTACCTGCAAGCCTTAAAGTTCCTGAGGATAGGGATGCTGGTGGAAGAAAACTAAGAATGAAGAAATTACAGTTAGAAGTGATTCACAATATCTGAAGTTTTTTCTCCAGCTCATGATAAATTAAGTTAAGCTATATGAATTACTAACAATGGGCCTCTTTCCCCTTGTGCTGGGGGTCAAATCCAGAGTCTTGCGCATGCCAGGCAAACTTTCTACCACCAAGCTATACCTCCAGCCCCTCCATGGACCATTTATAATTTGTGGAAATAGTGATTATTATGGCTCAATCTAATAATTCAGACTTTTTCTGGAGGGGGCACCGGGGATTGAACTTGGGACCTTGCGCTTACAAGGCAGGCAGTGGAACCACTGAGCTAAAACCCTGGCCCTTATTCAGACATTTTCTTGAGATGCTATGAATTAAATCCTCTCCTAATCTAACAGGTTAAGCAGCAAACTAGATTGTTATTTCCCTTTCTTAGGAAAACTCCAAAAGAAGAACACGGCACACAGGCTGGACCTGCACAAGCACAAGGAAGTCCTTTCCGTTCCATCAACATCCCTGAACCTGTTCTTCCAAGTGAAGATTTTACCACAATTTTGCCTTCTCAGGCCTATGAAAAAGGTACAGTTCATAAATCATGTTCAATTAACCAACTAGCTCTCTCACCCTGATTTCTAGGACTTATTAATAGAAAGAATGAGCTGAAGTCCTCCCTCGTTAGGAGAGGAAAATGATATACTGCCCAGACTTTTTCCTCATTACTGGAAGGATCCAGTTAGAAGTTAGAAGAATCCAGAGGGCTCAAGAGATCCTGAAAACCTGCCCAGTGTTTGAAGACTTTTTTTTTTTTTTTTTTTAGGAAAACACTAATCTGGATTCTTTTGTTTCAGTTGGATTTAGTACAATCACTACTATACCAACCATGAGAGAGAACAGTTTTATAAATTTTACTCGGACTAATTGTTTTAATGGCAGTCTGACTCAGTACTCATTTTTCTTTGAAACAAAACAAAACAAAACAAAAAGACCAGAGCTGGTTCTGTCTGTGGGCTGCGTCAGTCACCAACCATGTCCCAGGTCTGAGGGATGGGAACAGACCTTACTTGGTGGCACCTTGGCAGAACTAAAGAAACTAACTTTCCAAGGGATGTGATTGTGGACCCGTTCAACTCGGGAAAAACAATACATCTTAAAAATGTTTGTCATTTCGTGCATTCGCAGCGATGTCTCGTAAAGCACCTCTGCACAGAAAAGTGCATGTAGAAATAATTCACATTGCTGACACGACTTTCCCGTTTTTTTTAAAAAATTAAAATTTATATAGAAAGTCCTTAACAGTCGGTTCAATGATTTCTCAACCAAGTGTAAGCTCCTCAAAGGCGGGGTTTGCATTTTTCTATCCTTAGGGCGGATGGAACAGTATGGCTTATACATTCAAAAGCAGTGTGTTCTGAGTAACTGAATGTGAAAATCAGAACCAAGTGGCTTTTACTTGGTGTGTCTCTTTATTCTTCTTGCCCTGTGAGTATTTATTTAGGAGATGGACGGGGCAGTCCGGGACAGCTCGCTTGGTCCCAGTGAGGAGTGGGTCGACAGGAGGTTGTTTTCTTTGCTTCGTAACCTGGAGAGCAAGGCATGGAAGGGTGACCCTTGCTGGGGGAGAGTTCAGGATTGGTTTGGAAAGTAGAGGTCAGACGAGTGGCAGGACTGGGACAGCTGAACATGTTCACAGGATAAAATACTAAGAATTATATTTCAAAGCAAATATATTCATCTTCAGTCATTGTGCTGTCTGGCAGGAAAGGAAGAACCACAGGACTTGTTGAATCCGCTGAAAACAGCTGATTCCAGTCCCCATCCGGATTTATTTTACTTTATTTTTAAATTTTATTTTGTTTCTTGGTACCGGAGATCAAATCCCCATGTGGATTTAAATGATCCGTTTTACTGCCAACTCCTCCCTCTTTCCACGCTGTATAGATGCAGTTATAGTTTATTCTACTAAGTTGCTTCAGAAACTGGGGTATGCTGTGCTGCAGTCAAACATTCCAGCTACAATTAGTGGTAGCTTATGTTAAAACTTAGGGTCAAAGAACTGAACTTTCAGAAAGTGTTGGCTTACCCATTCTTAACGATCAGTTAGTGCAGTTGTTAGCTAGGGTCCAAAATCCAGTGGTTGAAAAGAGTGAACATTCATTATTTTGTAGTTTCTCTTGGTAAGGACTCTGTGCATAGCCACCGGCTCGAGGTTGCCATGAAGGCATTGGAGGTGGCTGCCATCCCATACTGTACTCAGACAGCACCACCTCCAGGCTTACTCACAGGGCTCTGAGAAGGTTCCAGGTCTCGTGACATGGGCTGCTCAGCGCTGCTGCCTTTCAACATCACGGCTGGCTTCCCCCAGCACAAATTACCTAAGAGAATGTGGGAGATGAAATCCACAGACGTTTTATAATCGAATCTTGGAAGTAGCACCCTTCCTGTCACATTGCCTTCATTATGAAATCATGAAACCCAGCCCCAACTGCAAGAAAGGAATTACAGAAGGACAGGGACGCTAAGGGGTACACGTTGGAGCATGGTCTTCGAGGTTTCTTCCCACCAAAGCCAAGCCCTCCATTTGAAAAGGCAAAGCCTCAAGAGTGTCCTATGATGCAAAAGTGTCACTTGTATGCTTGATAAGGGTGTAGCTGACAAGTTTGAAAATGTCATTTTTCAGGACCAGGTATACGTTTCCTTTGGATTCCTTCTCCTACCCAAGAGGATGTCAGGAGGATGTTTTATGTAACTAGACTCCCTACCTCTCACCTACTTTTCTTGCTTAGGAAAGTGGAAAGTTTCCCTGCTTTTGGTCTTTTTCCCTACTGCCTGGGATGTACTAGACAAATGCTCTACCACTAGTCTTTTTGAATGATATGGTCCATTATCCATTTCCTCTTTCTTATATCCTATTTACTCAATCCTTGTGATATTGGTTTCTATTCTTACCTTTCAACTAAAACTCTTTCCTTACCTTTATTTCAAGACAGGTTTCGCTATGCAGTTCAGGCTGGCCTTGAATAGCCTCGAACTCACAGCGGCCCTCCAGCCTCAGCCTCCTGAGTTTTGGGATTACAGTCATGCACCACCACAGCCGGATCCTTACATTTTTGATAGTTTCTGATGCCTTAGTTTCCTGTTTCCTTAAAAAAAAAATTTTTTTTTCCCTTTTGGCTGCCTGTTTTTCCTTGATTTTACTCCTACCTTTTTAGTTGTTCCTTCTTAAATTCTCTATTTGGCTCCTAATTGGCCTCAGAAAAGAACAAATTCCTTAACACAGTTCACAAGGCCATGTACTAAGCAGCCTCCATTTTTCTTCTCAGGTTTATCTTTTGTGACCCTCTATTTCTATCTCCTTAGTCAAGCCTGACACTTCTTTAGTCCCTGCAGTGCCCTTGTAGTCTGTGGTCTCTGGCCCTTCACATAAGTCATTCTCTGTGTTTATCTCCCTTTTACTTTTCCTGGCTAACTCTTATTCACCCTCCATGTTCTCTAGACCAGGGCTTTAATGTACACTCTGTGCGTGTGTGTGTGTGTGTGTGTGTGTGTGTGTTTGTGTGTGCGTGTGGTACCAGGGATCGAACTCAGGACCTTGTACTTGTGAAGCAGCGGCACTGCTGAGCTAAATCCCCGGCCCTTTAACATACGCTCTTTAATGTGCGATTGACGCAATATTGTTGAAATGAGGTTTGGATTCATCAGGTCAGGCAGAGGCCTGAGCTCCACTGTTTCTAATAACCTTGTATGGGATATCAGTGTGGCCGAACTTTAAATCATAAGATACTAGAAAATATTCCTGATACCATCCTTTGTGGGACCCAGTCCCCCCTCCACCAAATCCATATCAGTTGCTACCTAATAGACTCTTCATAGAACTCGGCAGTTTCCCTTCCTTCCTTCCTTCCTCCCCTTCACCTATCCATTGATCCCAGGCACTGTTTGGGTAATGAACAAAACAACGAAAGTTCATAGAGCCTTTCTTTGAGGGAAGCAGATCAATGAACAGAATAACTAAGAATGTATGTTATTGAAGTTAAAAAATTAAGGGAGACTAGCATTTTAGATAGGGTGCCAGGTAAAGATAGGAAAGTGAGAAAGTCAGCTCAGGGATATGGAAGGGAAAAGAGGGAACAGACAGTGCCAAAGTCTTGGTAAGAATGTCACTGATACGTCCAAAGATTGGCAAGACCAGTAGAGCTTAAGCAGGGAGGACAAGGGAAACAAAAAGAGAGTCAGTTAAAAACAAATAACAAGCCAGGCGTGGTGGCGCACGCCTGTGATCCCAGCACTTGGGAGGCTGAGGCAGGAGGATCGCGCAGACAGTTGGAGACCAGCCTGGGCTACCTAGTGAGTTCAAGGACAGCCTGAACTATGTAGCAAGACCCTGCCTCAAATACGTACATGCATACATAAAGCAACAACAATGAGGCAGCTGGCAGAGTTGGGGAGCAAATATTTAGGGCTCTGTGATTGTTATAAAGACTTAGATTTTTACACTGAAAGGGAAGCCACTGGGAAACTAAGCAGATGAGTGATAGAGTCTAACTTACAGCATCATAGTGCTCTGATCATCGTTATTACCAGCATCATGACTTCCACGACGGTACTGTCATAGTTAAAAACACAGTTTAACTTTTACACATACTACTTTTCGCAGTTGAAATGCATTCACCCGCTTAATTCTTAAGGAATCATCTGAGGTAAGTGCCATTAATATCTTTTACAGCTGAGAAAATAGCACTGGCCACACTGTCCTGTAATTCTGTCTTCCTTCCTTCATCCCTCCCTCCCTTCCTTCGTTTCTTCCTTCTTCTGTTTCTCCCACCGAACCATAAAATCTCTGAGTCCATCTTCAGCACCCGGCTCCTAAGAAGGCCTTTAGCCTGTGTTAGCGGAACGAATACTGAAATGAAAGCTTTCCTTTCTCCACAGCCCAAGAGTCCAGATCGGTTCATGCAGGAGATAGTAATGTGAAGGGAATAATGGGTCCTGGTAAGTGCCTCTTGTCTTTTAAGTTCTTTCTTCTTCTAGCAACTCCATTCTTTCCCTTTTTGATCTCCCATTTCTACTCCCTCAATCCCAAACCAGATGTCAAAGAACTCAGGCAAGATAAGGCGTTACTATTTTTTTATTCATTAATTTTCTTGGTACATTTTATGCAGACAATATGACCACATTCGTCACTGGGAATTGGTACCTTTCCATAATAAGGCATTACTGTTACTACAATTCCAAGACGCGTACTAGGATAGGTTAATGACTCACATAATCCCAAGGACAAAGAAAGGCTGGAGAAGCTTAAGGCAAATCCAGTAATCTTGGTTCTTTCTGGCTCATTTCAGTTACTCATAAATCAACATTTGCAGAAATCTCACAGGTTCATGATATAAATGTCCCATGGATCCCACCCTTTTGGTTTGATCAGAAGTTATTTACTTGGTTGGCAGTTCGCCAATATTTTACCCGTTAGTTCACCTTCCTCCTTCCTTTCTACTTTCCTTTTTCCAACTTAGCATCATCAGAGTCAAGGGGATAAATTGCAGAAAAAGATGCTGTCTTGTCCTCTTCTTTTTTACTTCCTTTCTAATGGGGCTGCAGGTATTGGTGGGTTCACCTGAAAGGCAGCAGATGTGAGGAATCAATACATAGACTCTAAATTAGTTCTATTACGTTATGAATTCACTTTTGAAAAACCCTTATTCAGTGGAGACTATCTACGGAGAGTAGAGGCTGTATAGGCCAAAAGCAGAAAGGTGACCCTTTCTCATTCTGAAATCTCTAAATCCTTCATTGATATAGTTAATGCTCGAGGAACGGTTGTACCCAAACAAGGGTAAATTAGTTAAGAGTTAGTGACAAACACTATGTTTTTTCTTAAAAAAGAATGACCTTGATTGCAGATGTTATTTTCCAGGAGTGAACCCAACGACTCCAGAAGCAGATGAAAACCTGAAGTCTTGCATCTCAGCGGATATGCAGTCCAAGGGTCATCTTTCTTCTGGCATGTGGAGGCAGCCCAAGGATGGCAAAGAATGGGGGGAAGAGTACGTCACAAAGGACCACCCCGATAAACTCAAGGACGCCGGCCAGGGTAGACGCAGTTCCTTGGAAAATGTTTTATGTGAAACCTCTTTAGCTGGTAAGTCCCACGGGGCAGTTCAGGCCAAAATTTTAAAGAACAAGCTGTACCAGAGGCTGGAAAGTAAGGGCTAGAACCCTGGTGTGGTAGATCCAGTGGATACATGAAACCACATGGTCTCTGGTTCTCTTTTCCAGTGAAGCAACCAAAGCCCGCAGAGGTGAAAGAACTCACTGGAAGTGATGCTGGTTGGGATCGGTAGCATCTTGATTCTGGGTCTTCATGACTTTTAGTGATTTTAGTAGAACTTTGGGGGGAAAAAAAGGCCTAGGGTTGATGGAGAAAAGGAAGGAAATGTGGGAACTACTTAGTCAGTGATGTGGAATCTTCCATACATAATTTTAGTAATAATCTTCCATCCAATTGTAACACGGAATCAGGCTCTGACTTTCCTCCATTTCCCTCCCCCTCCCTCTTTCTCTTACTTTCTTCCCTCCATACCTTATTCATTACTGAACACCTACTGTGTGGCAAGCAGTGGTATTTTCCCTCAACTATTTGGAGGGGGGGTGACTTTTAAAAATTAGTTTTAATTATCAAACACTCGCAAGATTAAGTAGTACTAAAAGTTTTGTTACAAAAAATGGCAGCTTCTATTTTGAACCCTATTGATGGGTTTTTTTTGCTGTATTTACCCCGGGTTTTTTGTTTTTGTTTTTTTGTGGTAAGGGGGATTGCGAAGTAGGCACAGTGCCACTGAACTAAATCTCTGGCTGTTATTTCCTTGTTTCAAAAACTTTGTGCTGCTATTTTGGAAACTATACTTTGCTTAATTTACATAGAGTAAAATTCAAAGATTACAATTAAGCTTATTGACTTTTTTTTCTTGGTACCAGGGATCCAACTCAGGTACTTCACAAAGGAAGATCTATGAACAACCAGTAAACATATGAAGAAAAGATGTTCAGTGTCAGTAGTCATTAGGGAACTGCCAGGGCGGGCACGGTGGTGCACGCCTGTGATCCCAGCACTTGGAAGGCTGAGGCAGGAAGATCGTTGTGAGTTCGAGACCAGCCTGGGCTACATAGTGAGTTCCAGGTCAGTCTCAACTACATAGTGAGACCCTGTCTCAAAAAACTGAAAAAAAAAAATTCCTTCATTTGTTTGTTTTCACAGCTAAAAGACAAACTGTGGCTCTAGAGCTGCTTGAATCTGAAAGAAAATATGTCATTAACATCTCTCTGATACTGAAGATAAAGGCAACATTCCAGGGGTCAGATGGAAAGAGGAATTCTAAAGAGAGAAGGTATCCATGTATTCATTGCCTTTGTTTTCAGATTGATTAGGATTTAAGGTAAGTTGCTTATTGTGTCCAGTATGGGAGTTCTGGGGTCTTTAGAGAGTTTCAGAAACTTTCAGAGTTGTCTTTGAAAAGAGGAGAGACAGTATTGGCAGGCAACCCTGGACAAATCTCAAGCTTAGATTCTCGGATGGTAAGAAAATGAATATAGTCTCCTGGGCCTTCAGTGTCTCTGATGTGTCTATGAAGAGCTAGACGTTGCTCTCTATTGCCGTCTACGTGTCCCCCTGGGTCACAGGTCTCACAGAGGTACGAGGATATGAATATGGTGGTGTGGAGCACTATGGACTCATTAGATAAATGACCCAGGGTGATATAACCCTTGTTCAGGTGAGCCCACGGTACCGGGTAATGTGAAGGAGTGTGTTGTGTGTTTGCGTGTGTGTGTCTTGTAGGGCAATGCTTCCAAAAGGTAGGCAGTGGATTGTAACAGCACTCTAGCCCCAGTGTTACAATACTCTTCCATCCCTACCTGTTCGCATTCAGGTTTTCTCTCCTTCCTCCTCTGTTGGGAAAAAGCAGGAGTAAGAAAAGTAAGACTGGTGAAAAAGACTAATGAAATAAAGATATCATCATATATATCCAGAATAACTGAGGAAAAGGCCAAACCAAACAAATGGGACGTCTAGAAGCTAGGCCATAATATTGGGCACTTAATTTTTAACTGCATGAAATCTTCACCAGAATTGGGACTGGAGTTCCCAGGGATAACTCAGTGATGGAGTGCTTGCCTAACACAGGCAAGGACCCAGGACCCAGGTTCAACCCAGCGCACACACTTACACACACACACACACACACACACACACGCATGCACACACCCCATCATCACCACCACCAGAACTTTATGATTTCTTCCCAACTGTGAAGAAACTAAGATCCAGTGAGATAGCTTAATTGGAAACTAAGATATAGCCAATTAGTGATGGAGTTTAAGTGGGGCCTTTCTGTCTCTGAACCCTACCTTCTTTCCATGTCACACAGATTCCCTAAGGACTCTGTGGTTTCAAGGCACCCTGACTAACAGCAATATGTGAAGTTTCTCAGACAGCAAGAAACATGAATTTATTTCTTTCTATTTCAAAACTCAGCTCTCTTGAACAGCCCGTAAATTCTTTTTTTTTTTTCCTCATTGAGTTCATTGGTACTTTTTCAGTATACAGTGCAGTTACACTCATCATTGGGATCTTGTACCTTTACGTGACAGGTCTTGGTTCTCATTTTAGCCCATAAATTCTTGTTTCAGATCTCAGTTGAGTTGCAAAGTAGCTCTAGTGGAGTCAAATTCTTTTTACTTACCATCACTTCCTACTATTTTGATATTCTGCTGTGATCTACCACTGAGAAAGGAGTGGTTCTCTCTCCTAAATTAAAAAAAATTGAACCTATAATACAACCAATCAAAGCAAGGTAACTTATTCTATCATATCCATAATAATCATTTTCTTTTTTTGAATTTTTAATATTCATTATTTATTAAAAAGTGTCAAAATTTTCAACATTGACTGTTTCTTGGTGTACAGAATCCAAAAAAGATCAACACAAATTCTTATATGAACTAAAATAAAAATACCAATAGTACGTTACCAAAAAATACTCTTTTACTTCAATTATCACACCTAAGGTGGTATGCACACATGAGATAATCATTTTCATGTTATTTGCCAAGCAAACTCTCTTTTCCATGTCATAGACCGAGCAGAGAAAAGCTCCAACTAAAAAAACAAAGTCTCTAGTTCTGAGCATGGCAGTGTCTCACCACTTTTCTACCCAAGGATTAGGTTTTAGTTATCTTTTTTCATTCATCAAATTTACCCCCCTTTTTTTCTAGGTTTCCCTGAAACCCCAGTGTGCTTTAAATAGTTCTTTTGACACCTCATAAAAAGATGAAAACAAATTCATTAACATGCATTACCTTTCCGATGGCAAAATGCAAGACTCCCACCCTCCCCACCCTATTGTAAAGTTATTAAAAAAGAACACCCGTGACAACTCCAACTTGACTCTCGGCTATTGCTGTGTGTTCTCAAACTTATAAAACTTTAGGTTTTTCCCTAGGTTGGGGGGGGAGTGAATTTCTCAAGAGCCTCCTCAGCCTAATCCAAGTCAGCCCTGTCCCAGGCTGTATGTATGGGCTTGGAAGTCCTAGGGCACACGTGGCCAACTGCAAACCTGGGCAAAACTTGTGAGCTATGGATCACTGTTGAAAGATTCACAGGCATCGGAGTTCTGGGCTTGTTTTGGATCTGACTCACCCAGACAGAGCCACAACCCTAAGATCAAGCAGTCCTGTCTATGTACTTGTGGGGAGGACTGCGGTTTCTGCGGATAAGCCAACTCTGCCAACTCTGGAGCTGGAGGAAGCTGCCAAGGACACAGGAAACTTAGACCACCACTAGATGGCGCATGTGTACTCATCCCTGCCTCTCGGTGAGGGTTGTAACCTTCTGTTGAAGCCCGGAGTTATTTTGATCTAACACCGGACTTGCAAGAGTGAATTTATTCATTTGAAACTATAACTGGATCTTCCTTGATTGCTTTTGGTTTATTTCCACCGTCATTTTAATGCTATCTTGTTGGGGGTTGAAATAACTTTGAGGGCTCTAGAAAGAGCACACTATTCATGGTGCCATAATTTTACTCCTGGTAAAGAATAGAAAAAAAGCTCAGCATTAAGTGTATTTGTCTTCACGTAAAACTTGCTTCTGGGAGTCATGTTTGGCAAAGCGGTAAAAGAGATTAAATGTGTCTATACTTTTTCCTTCCTTCTCCCTTTGTTGTCCATCTCCTGCCTCAACTCCTTCGTAACCCACCCCCTCCATTTCAAGTAATATCCTTGTTAAATTATTTTTTAAAAGTATTTTCAACATTTGGTGTAGCACTCCGATGCTCTTTATGTAGCTTCTGTGTTTCCGTGACAATTGACGTGAACATTGACTTTCTCTGAAATCTCATTACCTGATCAGACAGTCCAGGAGAACGTTAGTACCAGTTCTCCAACTCTGTAAGTACTTTGATCATGGTGTAACAGAAGGAAGCTTTCTAGGAAAAAAAAAAAAAAAGCGCAGGTAATCCAAGACACATACATAATTTTATTTATTTATTTATTTATTTATTGGTACTGGGGATCAAACTCGGGTCCTTGCACTTGCAAGGCAGGCAGCAGAACCACTGATAAATCCCCAGCCCTGCATACATAATTTATATAGACATCTCATCACCAAGTTAGATCTCACCATGATGCTCTTCCATCATTCAGGTCACACCACGGATACTACCCTAAGTTACTTATAACCTCTGGGTGGGGAGAAGTCTTTGCACTAGATCTTTTGCTGATGCAGTGTTTTGTTCTTTAGTACAATCATCTGTACTGGTTTTGTCCCAGTCTGTGTGTCTCCTACCTACCCCTCCAAATTCCTCTGTGGTCTAGATGGGAATTACCTAGATCTTCTGAGCTCATACCTTGAGTTCTTGCAAACCCATAACGATCTGTAAGCACTCACATCAAGAGTTCTCTCCTCTGTGTTTAGGACCAGCTAGCTTTCCATGTGTGGAAACTTTCTAAAGAGGAGGTAAGGGGTCCCGAATGAACTGTGGGAATAAAAGATTTCCCGTAACTTGTTATGGTGTTTCTGTGTTTTCTCTGATCTAAGGCTGCAAGGAAGTCTTCTTTGGCTTGGAAATGGATTGAAAAAGCACCCCTCAATCTGATTTCCTTTCTACCTTTCCAATAAAGATTTGCTTATTGGCAAAGCACCTCTGTTGACTTCTAATTTACTCCCATTAAACCCTGGGGAAATATTTAAATGAGTTCAGCTCTCGGTGATAAGTAGGTCATCCTTTTATCTTCATTAAGTTTGTAGTGTTGAACACACAAAGGGACTTATTTTTAGTTCCCTCTACAAGGTGGAGTTCAGATTAGTGGTGGCGAACCTACGACAGACCTGCCACAGAGGGATGTTTGTAACATGGAAAGTTCTAAAAGGTTTGCCATCACTGGATCAGATCCTCACTGTAGAACTGTAAAACTCCATGGTCTTCTGTTTTTTTCTTCCTCATTCCTGTAGGCCCCAGGTCACTCCATTCTTGTCCATCTAGGAACCCTTTTCCTCCTCCTATGGTTCTCTTTCTAGCTCTCTTCTGTACTCCACTTTATCTGACTTCTCTCTTCTACCCTTTGTTTTTTCTCGGGGGGAAAATGAGCCATATTAAGAAGCAGAAGAGAGAGACTTCAGGATAGGAAAGGGGGTCTGTGAAACTCCAGGATGCAACAGGCCAGCCCTGATCTATAGCCTCTCGAGGCAAGAATCTCTCCTTGCTCAGCATGCCTCTTAGAAACTGAGAAAAGGAAAAGGAACCCAATCACGTGTCCCCTTTCCTTGAGGTACTCGTTGTCAACTAAACAATTTTTCCTACCTACCTAAGTAGCAATCTCCCATCCAATAGCTAAGAATAACCACCTACCACTGTAAATACTGTCATCTACCACACAGATTAGAATAGTATGCACAACAAATTGGAATAACTTTAAAACATTGAAAAATATTTCCCTTAGAATTGCACTGAGTGTAACATTAAATGAGAGAGTAACAGGTTAGCTTTAAAGCAGCCATTCAGTGGGATGGGGATTTAGCTCAGGGGTTCTGCCCCCTGCCCCACAAGCGCAATGATCAGAGTTCAGTCCCTGGTACCAAAAATAAAGTGGCCATTCAAGTGATGTATTCTATTTGTTTAATGCACATTTGCATAGGGGCTATCAGAAAGTAGTATTTTTTATAATCTGAGGATATGTTATAAGGTGTACAGTAACAGTGAAAGAGACAGGCACAGTATCACTGAACTAAATCCCTGGACCTTATACAGTAACAATTTTTTAAAAATTCCTAAGTGCAAACCAGGCATACTTGGGAGGCTAGGCAGATCACAAGTTGGAGACCAGTTTTTGGGGAGACCCTCTTTTGTCTCTCTTTCTTTCTTTTTCTTTTTCTCTTTTTGGTACTGGGGATTGAACTTGGGTCTTTGTGCTTGTGAGGCAGACTGCGGAAGCTCTGAGTTAAATCCCCTGCCCAGTGAGACCTTCTTTGAAATAAATAAATGGGAAAAGGATGTAGCTCAGTGGTAGAGTACTTGCCTAGCATGTGGGAGACCCCGTGTTTGCTTCCCAGTATGGCAAAGAAGAAAGAAAGACAAATAAGAAGGAAAACAAAAACAAAAACAAAAACAAAAAACCCTGCGTGCAGACCTATGATTCATGAGTATTTCTTTTTGGTACCAGATATTGAACTCAGGTCCATATGCTTGCAAGGCAGGCAGCGGAACCTCTGAGCTAAATCCCTGGCCCTCATGAGTATTTCTGAATGACTGTGAAAGTGGAACTTGCTGCTTGTATTCTCGTGGGGCTTTTGTGGTTTGTGTGATTCTTTCTCTGTTCTGTTTCAAGCCTCTTCCCTGGCTCTTTACGGTACCTTGTCCAGCAGCACCTGGATTTGCTTCATGCACTGCAGGAAAGGGTCCTGAAGTGGCCACGCCAAGGAGTCCTTGGAGACTTATTTCTTAAGCTGACAAATGATGAAGTAAGGTGTTCTTTCTTCCTTCTATAGACTTTAATTTTATGCATCTATGTGTCACTTATCTCTTAATGAAGAATCTAAAATCAGTGAATTTCAGAGCTAGAGCCACTGACATCTGGTTTAACCTCCTTGTCCTACAGTTGCAAGAGTGAGACATTTAAAGGCTTTGCTGAAATCACCCAGCCTCTGAGGTAGTTGGATATCTGTCAATAGGACCCTGTTAAATCTTCCGACTTTGGGTTCACAGCTTTATACTGTATTGTAATTGCCTCCACTGAGCATGGATGTGTGTATATATGTGTGTGCACTTACACACTCATGCACATATATTGGTGTACACATAGGGTGTATAAATGTGTATATATTCTCATGTGTAATTTTCATTCCTTAAGAGACCTTTAAAAAATTTGTAAGTGGCTACTTGTCTTTTGTTTTCACTTTTTTGGAGAAAGGGTGCTAAGGTTTGAAAGCTCTATAATGTTCTACGAGGAAAATATGATTGAGACCAGAGGTTGCAAATGTAAATGATTGTAGGGCCAGCTGGTGACACAAATGAGTTAAGTGAGCTGAATGTAATATAATATTGACTGGTGGAAATTGTGCTGAGGTACAGGATACATAGTTTGCTACAAGGAATAAGCTACTCAGCTTTTTCCAACTATTATTTAGGAAAAAAAGACTGGAGTTGCCAGAGCTGACGTTTTAAGAGGAAGCAAGGAATCCAGAATTTTGTATCTAATTTCCTTATTTTTAAAAAATTGTGTGGGATAATTAAAATTGGTCTGCAGGTTTTTACCTACAATTAGCTTCTGTATGACAGTGATTCTCAAACATGATTAACAAGGCTAGGGGTGTAGTTTGGTGGGAGAGCACTCGCCTACCATGGATGAGGCACTGGGTTTGATCCTCTGTACCACCTTAGACAAAATTCACCTTTCAAATGTGGCTAACAATACAAAGTTCACTTGTATAGAAGGGTGTGGATGTGATCTATCCCTCTGTTATTACTTTTATTCATTTATATTCAGCATGCTTTCAGGAGCTAAGCATTATTGCTCTGGGAATATAACTTTGGAAGCTATGAGCTGCTTTCCTTTTTTTTTTGTACTGGGAATTGAATTGTGGACCTTGAGCTTGCCAGGCAGGCAGTGGCACCACCGAGCTAAATCCCCAGCCACTGAGTTGCTTTCTTGAAGGGAAATTGAAGAGGTGAATACACAATTAGTTAAAATATGCAATTAGTTGAAAACATTGAGAACCACAGACTGAGATACAGTAAAAAGTGAGTTGAAGTAGAGGATTAAAATGAAAAGGATTTACAAAACCAAAACATGCAATTTTATAATTTAGTTATTTAAAAATACTTTTTTCACTTTTCATGATCCTCATTTCTCCCATGGTTTATTATTTTAGTCATTAAGTAGGGCTCTTGAGTTTTGCTTCCAAGCTGCAGTGATGGTTATCTTAAAACCAAAAATATTTTTTAAAAAAGATGAATAAAAACTGCCAAAATATATTAAAGGACATATTTAAGATTCATTAAGATAATGTTTGCCAAGTACTCTTTTTATATACATGGCTCTGTAAAAGTATTGTCACACCAGTTTCCAGGTTCTTACCGTGTATTTTTGTCTTTGTTTTAAAGAATAATTTTTTGGATTATTATGTTGCCTACCTGCGGGATTTGCCTGAATGCATCTCACTGGTTCACGTCGTTGTTCTGAAGGAGGTAAGTCAACTCTCCATGTGTTCTGTTTATAAATGTCACCGTATGTGTTGCTCCTGCATCCTGTCAGAACTGCACACACTGAGCTGGGTTTCCAGGCTGAGCAGTGACCTGAACAGAGACTCAATGTTGTTGCTGTGGTCCTTGCTCTGATTCACTTTGTTCCAGTCTGTTGGAACTACGGACAGCCTGTATTCTAAGCCGAGCTCCACATGCCGTAACCTGCGTGCTTTATATGTGGGATTTTTTTTAAGGCTCAGAAAATATGAATCTCAATATTAATTTCAAAGCATCCAATTTATAAGGTTGTAAAGTGCCTCTGTTTATACTGTTGAAGCATTTCCTTGCCACAGCAATGATATATTAGGTGCTTAACAAGCTAGTGAGACGTATATAACAATTTTAATTTTTTGGTTTGGGGAGATTTTGGGTGGCAATGGGGATTGAACTCAAGGATAGCCCCAGCTTGTTGTTTTAGGTTAATACAAGAAAACAGGAGCAGAAGCCACAAATCTGAGAGCTAATCAAGTAACATAGAAAACAAGCGGCTCTGTTTTACTAAATTTCTATTTCAACCTACCCCTGCTCTCGATACAGTATAATCCCTCCCACGGGTTGGCATTCAGCAAATGTCTGGGAAGGGGGGAGGAATAGAAGGAAAGGGAGGATACAGTGAGAAAAGTCCAATGTGTTCTCTGCTTCCAGGATAAATGACTAATTTCCAATCACATTTCCTTCCTCACGCTCATGAGACTCCAATGTACCCTTTAGCCTGTTAGTAAACCAATGTAACGATTATTTCCCAGACAACTGTCATAAATTTATTAAAATCAAGTATAATTCGATCGCTCAATTCTTCCTAACACTGTGCTCAGATGGGGTAGAGAAGGAAAGGGTATTTGGGAAATTTGGGTGGATTCAAAAGAAGGGTGTGAAAGGTTCCCTACTGGAGAATTGTTTCCTTGGGCGTGTTTCTGAACATACAACCTCTCCAAAGAGAGATCAGCACTTCATGCCAATCTCTGGGAAGAAAATGCTTTGGGAATAAAGCTTGCCTACTCTCGAGGGACCAACTCTGGGATCCTGCTGCTAGAGTGGGAGGGGCACTGAATGACTCTACATTTCTTTCATTCAGGGTGATGAAGAGATCAAATCTGATATCTACACACTATTTTTTCACATAGTCCAACGCATCCCTGAATATCTGATACATTTACAGGTAGGCATGGCTGGGGCAAGCCACCAAACTGATATTTATACTCAACTTAAAAATATAGTTTGTTTGTTCGGTACCAGGGATTGAACTTGGGACCTTGTACTTGAGAGGCAGGCGGCCAAACCACTGAGCTAAATCCCCAGCTCCCTAAACTTAAAAATATAGTAAAGTCTTCAAGAAACTATTAATATTTCTAAGAAGCGCTTATGATTATCCCATACTCGGTTATGGGTATACCTGCAGTATGAACTGAACCTTTCACCTCTGGTGGTCCAGGGTCTTTCTCTGAATACTCCCACTAGATTCCAGGCACCTTATTTACTCCCTTGCACTGCGGTTCTATAGCCACCTGTCGTCTTCTGGTATTTAAATGTCTATCTAACTAACCCACTTAACTGCTAATTACTTTTGTGTGGCTTGAGTCCCTGGTTCTACCTTACAATGCTTATACATTCACAGTAGAGGTAAGAACAAGAGGATAAGCTGATTTTACATCATTCTCCCACAGGGCTTGTAGTAGTTTGAAGGAAGAAGAGCTGACTCGCCAACCTCTTACTAGCCCCTCTTCTTCCCACTACTAACTGTTAACTGATCTTAAGTAATTCAGTGAAAGCATCCAGAAATACTTGTGGTTAATGTCAGGTAAAAGCAGCCCAATGTCAGCATTGAGAACATTTTCAATTATATGTGGCTTTAGGTACTAAAAGCATTTCCTCAAGCAGTAGTGTCTGATCCATAAGCCCTGGTTCTATCATCTGAGTTCCAATTCCTTTATTTACTAAATGTGTGACCCAGTAAAGATCACTTAACTTCTCTTTGCCTCAATTTCTTTATTTTGTAAATACATGTAATAATTATACCCATTTAATAGAGTTGTGATAAAAATTTAAAAGGGCATTATATGTAAAGGATTCAGTGTGAGGCAATAGGAAGTGTTCAATAAATGCTAGCTTTCCCAAATCTAAGTCACATGCATATTCTACTATAGGTATTTTAGTTCATTTTATGTTCCTATAACAAAATACCTGAGGCCGGATACTTTATTTTTAAAAAGTTTATTTTGGCTCACGCTTTTTGAAAGTCGAAAAGCATGGTGCTGGCACTGGTGTTCTACATTTCATCTTAGCCAAAAGGCTGAGAAGCAATTGGCACTGGCTTTGTAGAGAAGGCCTCATGGTGGATAGTATCACGTGACAGGAGTATAGGTAAGAATGATAGGTCACACAGTATAAGGAAAGAGATGAGGGGAGGGAGAAGGCTGAGCTAACTCATTCTCTAAGGCCACCATGAATCCCCTTATGAGGGTGCTCATCACCCAGCGGCGTCTCATTGTTCCCTACGTCGAAGGTTCTATCACCTCTCAATACCATTACATTGTAGACCATGCTTCCGGTACACAAGCCTTTGGAATCACGAACCTAACTGTAGGCAAACCACAGCAGCAGGTAATGTAATAAACAGCCTAGAGAGGCCACCAGGCCAAGTTTGATCATAATTATCAACCGAAGAGCTACCCCATCAGCCTGGCTTGATGTCTGACATTCTCATTAGTCTGACTTATGTAAGCCATTGCTCATAAGCAGTAATTGTTAGAAAGCTTTCATTACTTCAGAGAGCTAATCAGTTAATCCTTCTAACTTTTTAAGTGGAATTATTTTATGTTTACATCCACTCAAACAGAAACAGTAGACTTATTTTCCCTAGGTGTGATGGACAGAAAGCAGCAAATTTGACCTTTCAGTTTATTGGATGGGCCGTATACATTGTTATTGTTTTTATTAAATGGCTACCAAACTTATCATGTAAAGGTGCAGAAGAGACAAAACTTTTCTTCTAATTGTCATGCAGCTTTTTTTTTTCCCTTCTGTCCAGAATGTTCTGAAATTCACAGAGCAGGAACACCCTGACTATTACCTCCTACTGGTGTGTGTTCAGCGCCTCCGAGTATTTATCTCACACTACACCCTGTTGTTTCAATGCAATGAAGATTTGCTTATTCAGAAACGGAAAAAGCTCAAGAAGTAAGGTTCTGATGGTGTATTCCAGAGGGTGTATCAAAGGCTTCTGAGCACCAGGATATAAAGTCAATGTGGTGTCTGTCACCAGTAACTGCCTTGTGTATTAAGTGGGAGGGAAGAGAGGTGGGCAGGCTGGCTACAGGAAGACATCTAGTGGTTGCTGAAAATTAGGAAAAAAGCACCTTTATTCCAACCTCTTCTCTTATCTCATACTGTTAACGATCTCAAAAATACCATTTCCCTAAATTTGCCTAGTTTAAAATTGCCATTTAAAGGTCAGAATTATTTCCTTCATTAATTTTTTTTTTTTTTTGTACCAGGAATTGAATTCAGGGCTTTGCACTTGCTACACAAGTTTTGCGCCCCCAGCCCTCATTCTTTAATCTTATTGAGTACCTACTGTCCTATGCACTGAATATAATGCAATGAACAAGACAGCCAGACATCCCTGCCAGGGAGAATTTACTTTTTAGAGCTGGATGTTGAACAAATAAATTAGATGTAATTCCTAGGGATAGAAGTAAAGCAAGTGACAGTGGGAAGTTTGAATAGCTCGGAGCATATGGGCTTCAGAGCCAACAGAAGCAACCCATAGCAGAACTTCCTAATAATTTGTATTCCTTCAATCTCACTGTAATGGAATCATTTGTCAGGGGCTCAGACCAGAAAAGATGCTCTCTCCCAAGACAGGACTCCTCTAATAAATGTCTTGCCATGCCAGTCTCTGATCCCAAACTGTTTTCAGCCAGTTAATCAGCATCCTTACTCCTGTCCAGCTGCAAGTTTACACCCTATTATGTGAGCAACCTTGTTTGTAGAAGGCCCCGGAGAGAAACCTTCACATTTGAGAAATGATGATCTTTCTTGGCATACTCTACATATTCAGAGTCATTTTCCCACTGTACAATCTGAGAATGATTTCTTCCATTCTCTTAGGTCATCCATGGCAAAGCTGTACAAAGGGCTGGCTTCCCAGTGTGCAAATGCTGGCCAAGATGCTTCTCCCACTGCAGGCCCTGAGGCTGTCCGCGACAGTGGGATCCACTCAGAAGAGATGCTGCAACCCTACCCTTCTGCTCCCAGCTCTGGCCCTGCTGTCACGTAAGCATCTGTGGCTGTGGAAAGATTAATGGCAATACCCGGGGGTCCCAGGCAGACTGTGAACTAGCAGGTGGGCCTGGATTGGAAGTGAGATCTGTAGAACTCCTCCTTCCTCGTTTCCCATCAGGTCTGTGACAGCCAAGCAAATGACCAGACTCTTGGATCCCAGAGAAAGGCACTGATGTTAAGGGTTAGGGCTAAAGAACGGCTGCAGGGGCAGAAAGTGAAAATTTATTCTGGAGAGTCAACTCTTGAGACAGTGGTAGAATATTATCATCCCTGAAATACAACAAATAAAGCCAAAAAACGCAAACCCTAGAGATTAGTCTAGCTAATCATAGCATGGCAGTCTTTACACTCTGTGCAGGGAAAACAAAACTCAGCAATTTTCAAGGTAAAAGAGAACTGGGAGTCAGGTCAATATTTCATCTACTTCTTTTTATATCTGTAAATGCCTTATTTCTTTATAAGGTCACTAAGATTACATTTGCATTCTTTATGCATTTTTTCTTTTTTTTTTCCCCCCGGTACTGGGGATTGAACTTGGGTCCTTGTGCTGGCAAGGCAGGCGCTGGAACCACTGAGCTAAATCCCCCACCCTCTTTATGCATTTCTGAGAATTAAAATATGACTAGACCAACAGAATAACCACTTTGGAGTCAGTGTGTCCGGCTGCTAAAACAAAACTGACAAATCCCCACTTGATGGGTATACTATGCTACTTTGTAAACTATACCATGTTTTTTGTTTTTTGTTTTTTTTTTGGTATTTGAGACAGGGTCTCACTATGCAGTTGAGACTGACCTGGAACTCACTATGTAGCTGGGTTGGTCTCAAACTCACAGCAATCCTCCTGCTTTAGCCTCCCGAGTGCTGGGATTACAGGCGTGCGCCACCACGCCCGGCCAGTACATACCATATTTTTGTTGTCCATGAAATGCTCCAACAAAAAAACCTTCCATGAAAACTGGAGTTATTCAGAGGGAAAGCTTTTACATCATATGAATGCTTTGTGGGCAGAAGTTTGAGATGACTTATTAAGCACGTTATATGGCTAAAAACAAGGTTTTTTTGAAATTTTATTCCGAAAAATTTAAATTTACACGAGTACAGTTGACCACCTATACAGTCCAACTATACAGTGGACAGTTTACCGTCATCCCAATTCAGCAGTTATCAAAATGTGCCACACTTCCTAGGAATGTAATTATAAGCATGAAGACCCATAAACCGTACAAAAGTTGAGTTTCCGTTATTTTGTATGACTGTTAGGGAAAGAAAGGGAGAAGAGCGGTGGCAAAGAGGGGCCTTGGGACACTGGCAGGTGGAGGGGAGGCTCAGGGCTCCCTTGAGCCTAGCGGTGATGGATCTTGGTCTGTCAGCCATACTCCATGGCGCCTGTGAGAAGCTCAGGTAGATACTTGGGGGCATCCACTTTCCCGACCATTTCCCCTCCTCCACTTGCAGACAGGAATTCTTGGGACTTTTGAGTCGCAGTTTGCGGGGCTGGGCAGGCAACACGTGTACTGGAAGGGGAACGGGAGAGGTGCTGACATCTCTCCGGGCCTACCTCGCAGGCTTGGTGAGAGGCCAGCACTAACTGCATACCTCTTTCGTACTGTTTTCCCTCTAAAGTCATCTGATGCCCCCGGTGAAGAAAAGCCAACCGCAGCAGAGCATGCAGCCCGGGAAGCCCAGTGACTGGGAGATGGAGGGCAGAAAGCACGAGAGGCCCGAGAGCCTGCTGGCGCCGGCGCAGTTCTGCGCGGCCGAGCAGGACTTGAAGGCGCTCCCCGGGCCGCTGCAGGCC